ATACCCCAAAATAGGAATCTTGCGTCTTGTTTTAGGTCCCGATAGTAGAAAGAATGCAGTGTACATGTATTCAGATGGCCGCCGTGTAACGTTACGTACTAGCGAGCGCATACCGCCAGAGTAGAGTAGGTTATCATAACTCTTTAGAAAGCGCAAAGAAAACAAAAACGACAGATTTGCATTAAAGAAAGTTTATTTTCCATAGCCTGGGCTAAGCCACGATCTATAACCTACGGCTTCTCCACGGGCGCTGGGGACGAGCGTGACAGCTTGGGTATCAACTGTGGGAAGCTTGGTGACCACAGAAGAGCTACCAGCTATCATTATCAGGCACTGCACATGAGGAAAAGTATTTATGGTCCCGGCACTGCACATCATGACATCACCGCGTCACATAACAACTTGGGTAACGCCTGGAAAAGCCTTGGGTACTATAAGATGGCCGTCAGCTCGTATGAACAGGCACTGCAGACTTGTCATAGTATCTATGGTGAGGGCAAAGCACATCCTGATATCGCAAGGACACTAAACAACTTAGGCAACGGCTGGATCCACCTTGGTGATCCCAGAATGGTTGTCAGATATTATCAACAGGCCCTACAGATGTATAGGAGTTTGTATGGTGAGAAAACTGTGCATCCCGACATCGCCTCGGCAATCAACAACTTGGGCATCGCCTGGAGTTACCTTGGTGATCACAGAAAGTCCCTCAGTTATCATGAACAGGCATTACAGATGAAGCGGACCATCTACGGTGAGAACACTCAACATCCTGAAATTGCCAAGTCACTTAGCAACTTGGGCCTCGCATGGAGTAACCTCGGTGATTACAGAAAAGCAGTCAGCTATTATGAACAATCATTGCAGATAAAGCAGAATATCTACGGTGAAGACACTGGACATCCCGACATTGCCTGCTTACTTAATAACCTGGGTAACGCCTGGAGTGGCCTTGGTGATTACAGAAAGGCCATCAGATATCATGAACAGGCACTGCATATTAGACAGAGCGTCCATGGCAAGACCACGGCACATCCTAGCATCGTCAAGTCACTTTATAACTTGAGTGTCGCCTGGAGAAATGTTGGTGATCTTAGAAAGTCAGTTTTCTACCATGATGAGATGACACGGATGGAAAAGATGATTGAAAGCTACAGATATTGACTTAACCTTTGATCTAACCATGTCTCCTCACAATACCCAAAATAGCAAAAGGTGTTAGTTCTAGAAGGAGGCTTTTCTCTATTAATATAAAAACGCGTTATAATAGGCCGTTGGAGCATAAACTCGGGGTTATCCACACACTGTTCTACAGAGCGAAAACAATCAATACTCACCCTCAAGAATAGACAGAGAAACATCAGGTTTCAGAGGCGTTAAGAAAGTGCGGGTATTACACTTGGGCACGGATAAATAAGTACGCCGATCTTGATGATTCAGAAAGCCTCCGTGATGTGTACACGGGGGGATGAAAATGTGATTATTATTACTTGCGGCTAGAAATGTTGCTCTGGAATTATCACAAATGTACCGACTGTTTTCTGACACTGTGAACTATTCAACATTTTAATATTTCCTGAAAAAGGCGGTCAAGTAAATTTCGCTCTTTAAAAGTCTTCCAGATCCCATTGATTAAGCATAAAAGTATCATTTTTTGGACATTATATTTGCATGTATTTTATGAACCATCCATTGAATCGTCGATGAAGGTTAGACATCTAGGTAATACGATACGCCAAAAAAAACAGTTACTCAAGCAACTGGATATGATTTTGAAAACGTCAGACGTTTCAGCTAGTATCCACTAGCTTTCGTCAGTGACTGAGAGACCAGAGGGGAAAGCAGGTTTATAAGCACAAGCTATTGATTGATATGCAAATAAAGTGAAGACAAATTTTTAGAAGTCGAAAAAGGAACAAAAGTCAGACAAGTCAAGACAAGATGATGCAAATAAGTCTGAAAGCTCCTGTTATACAGAACAGGAGCTTAAGTGTTGTCTGTCCTCGGGGCTGGGAGTGCCAAATCCCAAGTGCCGGAAAGATCGACCCGTAGCCCCCCTTCCCTGTTGAGGGTGGGGTTGTACATTCTTTCATATATTGCCTCTTTAACACCCCGTTCCCACCAGCGTGTTTCGCGATCTAAGACATCCGTGGACTCGAGTTTGAAAGAGTGACCCTGGTTGTGTTGTAGGTGGTCGAAAATAGCTGAGGAGTAGCCGTTGAGGATGTAGCCGTTGGCACTAGGTCGGCAATGTTCTTTGTAATACTATCTTACTTTGAGTGGTCGACGTGTCTCTCCGATGTAGGTGTTGTTACAATTGGGCTCCTCACATTTGAGTCTCTAAATAACATTCGCCTTGGTACCTTTGTGAGGTCGGTCCTTAGGGTGTACCAGTCTTTGTCTGAGGGTTGAGTGAGGTTTGAAGTTAGTGGCTATGTTGAAGTTTTGGAAGATCCGTCGGAGTTTCTCAGATATTCCTTGGACATACGGAATAGTGATGTTGGCCTTGTTTTGTTGGTGAATGCTTTGCACTTCTGGGTTTTCTTAGACTGATCTGAAGGTTTGAGCGCTTTGTTGAAAGTCCAGTTTTGGTAGCCACATTTAGCCAGTGCACCTCGGAGGTGTCTTTGTTCGCCGTTTTGGCTTGGTCTGAAGTGACAATGTTGTCTGCACGATGGAAGAGAGTTTTGATCACTGCTAGTTTGTGTTCCAAAGGGTGGTGGGAATCAAAGGCCAGGTACTGATCAGTGTTGGTTGGTTTCCTGTACACTTCGAAACGAAGGTTACCATCTTCATCTACGATAGTTTTGGTGTCAAGGAAAGGGAGCATGTTGTAACATGGAAGGGGGTCTACAGGTCGATCTTTCCGGCACTTGGGATTTGGCACTCCCAGCCCCGAGGACAGACAACACTTAAGCTCTTGTTCTGTATAACAGGAGCTTTCAGACTTATTTGCATCATCTTGTCTTGACTTGTCTGACTTTTGTTCCTTTTTCGACTTCCAAAAATTTGTCTTCACTTTATTTGCCTATCAATCAATAGCTTGTGCTTTTTAACCTGCTTTCCCCTCTGGTCTCTCAGTCACTGACGAAAGCTAGTGGATACTAGCTGAAACGTCTGACGTTTTCCAAATCATATCCAGTTGCTTGAGTACTAGTAACTGTTTTTTGGCGCATCCATTGAATCTTTTAATGTATCGTACTGTAACATTTTTCTTATCCGACCGTAAAAGTAATTGTGGGTATGGTAGCTTACACGTGGTTTGTACATAAATGTAAATTAACATAATACATTTTATAAGTCTGTTATTTATAGCCTCCTTCGCAGTCTTGTTGGGCGTCGGCGTAATTTTTTCTCTGAGCGACTCGAGTAATATGCCGCCGAGAAGGACGATTTGCTGCCAAAGGGAATTTTTGCCACGGAGAGAAGGTT